CCTGCCTCTGCCTCCCGAGTGCTGGGACCAAAGGTGTGTGCCACCAATGCCCGGCTTCCTTTTTTTTTTTTTTAAGATTTATTTATTTATTGTGTGTACAGTGTTCTGTCTGCATGTATGCCTGCAGGTCAGAAGAGGGCACCAGATCTCACTACAGATGGTTGTGAGCCACCATGTGGTTGCTGGGAATTGAACTCAGGACCTCTGGAAGAGCAGGCAGTGCTCTTAATCTCTGAGTCATCTCTCCAGCCCGTGTCTCTCTTTTTATAAAAAGATTTTTTAATGTGTATGATTTTTTTTTGCATGAAAATGTATGTGTGTGTACCATGTATGTGCTTGGAGCCCACACAAGCCAGTAGAGGGTGTTGGGTCCCCTGGGACTGGAATTGGGGTGGGGGTGAGCTGTCATGTGAGTGCTGGGAACTGAACCCAGGTCCTCTGCAAGAGCAACAAGTGCTCTTAACCTGGAAGCCATCTCTCCAGCCCCTTGTATCTTTTTTTTTTTTTTTTTTTTTTTTTTTTTTTCTGAATGGACATTGTAACACCTTGATGTTGGCTACAAACCTGATATAAATACACTGCAGTTTGGCAGTTCAGGCCTGTAGTCGCAGCACTTAGGAAGCAGAGGGAGAGGAATGACAAGCTGATGAGTAGCCAGGTCTACAAAGTGAGTGAGCATAGTGATCTTCTGGGGGTGTTCAAAAGTCATACCTGGTTGTCACTCTGGGTGGCCAAAGGTCATCTGTGAGCCCCTTGGAGGAGATGTGGGACCCACTGCCCTGCCCCCAGGCTCAGCTAACCCTGTCACCCTGCACAGAGAACAGAGACAGGAAGTTTATTGGCATGTGGCCAGTCCTCAGGGTGTGAACTTTTGTCTTGGGGGTCTCCCTGTCTTTGGGGCTCACTGTGACCCTCTCTCCCAGGTGCTCTGGCATCGCGCACAGTATGAGCCTCTCTTCCACATGCTCAGTGACCCTGAGGCTTATGTGTTCACCTGTGTGAACCAGACAGCCGAGCAGCAGGAGCTGGAGGATGAGCAGCGGAGGCTGTGTGACATCCAGCCCTTCCTGCCGGTGCTGCGCCTGGTGGCCCGGGAGGGTGACCGGGTGAAGAAGCTTGTCAACTCCCAGATCAGCCTTCTCATTGGCAAAGGTATACTCTCGGGTGAGAGCTGCCGAGGCTGACCCCACGTGGCCTGGCACTGCGCCGACCTCCCCCTCCTCCTGCATCCCCACAGGTCTCCATGAGTTTGATTCCCTGCGGGACCCAGAGGTGGATGACTTCCGCACTAAGATGCGCCAGTTTTGCGAGGAGGTCGCTGCTCACCGCCAGCAGCTGGGCTGGGAGGACTGGCTGCAGTATAGCTTCCCCCTGCAGCTGGAGCCCTCGGCACGGAGTTGGCGGGCTGGCATACTGCGTGTCACCAACCGAGCCCTGCTGGTTAATGTGAAGTTCGAGGGCAGTGAGGTGAGCCGTGGCTTCAGAGCCCTAGGGATGCTAGCCATGCCCCTGAGGGACTTTTCCCCCTGAGGGAAATCCAAATCTTCCAGTTCCTTCTCCCAGTAGCAGAAGCTGGCATTTGCCAGGCCTCCATGCATACTGAAGAGCTTAGCTGGTTTTCTCGCCAGGCAAATTTGGAGTTATTTTACTTGTCTGAATGTTTGTCTCATGTATGTAAGTGTGTGACATGCACGTCTAGTGACTGCAGAGGACAGAAAACAGCATCCTCAGATTCCCTACAACTGGAGTTAAAGATGCTTATGAGCTACCACCTGGGTGCTAATAACCAAGCAAACACTCAAAGAGAACTGTCTCTCACCAGGCAGATTTGACAGTGCAGAGTGACCCCTCGGTGTCAGCCGCCCCCCTCCACACACACAACCCAATGTTTTCAGTGAACACCTAGACATGTTTTAGAGGTGGGGCGCTCTCACAGGCAGGCCTGCCTCTGTGCCCCAGAAGCCACAGGGACTACAGAGCAGAAGGCTGACACCCTTCTCCCTACAGGAGAGCTTCACCTTCCAGGTATCCACCAAGGACATGCCCCTGGCACTGATGGCCTGTGCCCTCCGAAAGAAGGCCACGGTGTTCCGGCAGCCTCTGGTGGAGCAGCCTGAAGACTATGCCCTTCAGGTGAACGGGAGGCATGAGTACCTCTATGGCAACTATCCACTCTGCCAGTTTCAGGTGAGCCCCTCCTCTGTGCAGTATCCCTGCCGCCTGCATGTGGCCCCAGGAGCATCAGGGGGAACCGGGTTTAGCCTCTCTGACCACACTGACAAAGCAGGCCTTTGTAGTCACTGTGACAGCATCCCTTTGCTGAACTGGTCCTCTGTGAGCATGAGGAGGAACCCCATCTTTCGGGGGAAGCAATAGGAGGCCCCTCGTGAGGTTTGGGATAGGCAGTATCCGCTTGGGGAGTTTCTGGTAGCTGGTTGTCCAGGAAATGGGTGGGGGCCACCCATCCTCACGCTGCACCTCCACCCCAGTACATCTGCAGCTGCCTGCACAGCGGACTGACCCCTCACCTGACCATGGTCCATGCCTCCTCCATCCTTGCCATGCGGGATGAGCAGAGCAACCCTGCCCCCCCAGTCCAGAAACCACGCACCAAACCTCCCCCAATCCCTGCTAAGAAGGTGAGACAATGTACTTCCTTCCCTGTGTGCCCCCCCCAGTCAGCTGGGAGGCACCACAGGAGGGTTGGGGGGCCCTTGGTGGGTGATCAGTGTCCTGTTGGGATTTGTGAGAACTGCAGGGCAGCCTCCTGTGTCCTCTTGTGGGTCTTAGGGGTATCGGGGGCCCTTGTGCATCTGCACAACGGGCTTTCTGGTAGAAGACAGTGTTGGGGACAGGTGTCTGAGATTGCCACCAACCCTGCCTCCCTACTTCCCCAGCCATCCTCTGTGTCCCTGTGGTCCCTAGAGCAGCCGTTCTGCATTGAGCTGATGGAGGGCAGCAAGGTGAATGCCGATGAGCGGATGAAGGTAAGGGTCCCGGGCCAGGTGACCCAGCCACTGTTTGCTATACAAACAAGGGTGGTTGTGGCCAGGACGGGTGGCAGCGGCAGTGGCAGCGGAAGAAGAGTGGGAAGATGTCACACAAAAGCCACCTGACCACATTACCCAGCATCCCTGACTGGAGTGGTTGTAAGCCGCTTCAAAACAGGAAGAGGGGAGCGGGGTGGGCCAGCCAGCCAGAGACTGATTCGTGGAAACCAGGCAGAGCCGATTTCTGTGTATTTGACTTTGGTGGAGGTTGTGGGGATGAAAGGTGTCTGGGGAGGTGTGAGGTGCATCTGGTCAAGGTCTGCCTGCAGCATGGACGGGTAGCTGCCTCATCCCCTGGGGCCTGAGCTACCGTTGGGTTGTGACGATAGTGCAGGGGCTCTGTGCTCTTTGGCTTAAAAAAAAAAAAAAAAATCCACAAGCCTCGCATCCCCGTTTCTTAGCACTGCCTTCCAGGTGGAGGCATTAGTGTTCCATTTGTGGAACGGGAAGCCCACAGAGAGGCTGGGAGCCCTTCTTAGCACCATAGTTTTACAAGTTTGGAGGGCTGGCTACCTGTGTCTGGAATGATCAATGGTGGCACTCCTGCGTAGGAGCCCTAAGATGCAAAAAGGCAAGCAGTCAGCCTCAGGATGACAGAGCCAGGGAGCCCTGGAGTTACCAGCTCCTGTCCCCAAAGAAGCTGAGGCCCGGAGTGGACGGGACATGCCTTGAGATGTCAGTGCACAGTCTGTGTGGCCTCCCCTGCCCCATGACTTCTTGTCCTACTTGGCCAGTGGCTTTCCCTCTGAGGAACAACCCCCCCACCCCCCAGGAGGAAGTAGATTCAGAACTACTTAAGAATGAGGACATTTGAGGAGCACATTGGTGGGAGAAGCTGACGAGGGAAGGGCCTCTGCTCCCCTTACTCTGTGTGGCACCCCACCCCCAGCTGGTTGTGCAGGCCGGGCTCTTCCATGGCAATGAGATGCTGTGCAAGACCGTGTCCAGCTCAGAGGTGAATGTGTGCTCAGAGCCCGTCTGGAGACAGCGGCTGGAGTTTGACATTAACATCTGTGACCTGCCGCGCATGGCTCGGCTCTGCTTTGCGCTCTATGCTGTGGTGGAGAAGGCTAAGAAGGCGCGTTCCACAAAGAAGAAATCCAGGAAGGCGGTAGGTGGTGGGGTGGGGGAACCTGGGCCTTCCTGCAGTGCCCCACAGGCAGGTAGGCTGAGGACAAGGGGCCTGGGGGACGGAAACCCTAAGCCTCTCCACCACCACACCCACTGTAGGGATGGATAGCTTGTCAACAGCCTGCTTGGGACTATCCGCTCCGGACCTGCAGCCCCTTGGGCTTTTGCAGGCAGCTCCCTGGGTAGAGAGTGTCCTCAATGGGACCAAAGGGCCTGGGGCAACTATGGCCTCGAGTGGCTGCGCCCCCAGTCACGCTTCTAGTATGTCAGCTGACCCTTGTCCTTCTAGTGCATGCTGGGAGCTGAACCAAGTGCTGGGATCTGGCTCCCATTTCTCTGGCAGCCAGGAGCAGGGATACAGGCCTTGCTGGGTTTGCCACTAGGACAAGGCAGTTGGTTCTCCTGCTTCTCAAACAGGGTCTTTCCTTGAGTCTTCCTGGGAGTCCTCCCTTGGAGTCCAAACCCCTTCCCCCACTGGGCCTTCAGGTTTGTCTACTCTGAGGTCAGCAAAAGGGGCTTTCGTGACTGGCCCTTACCCACTGATGTCATTCACAGGACTGTCCCATTGCCTGGGCCAACCTCATGCTGTTCGACTACAAGGACCAGCTCAAGACTGGGGAACGCCGTCTCTACATGTGGCCCTCTGTCCCAGGTGGGCCCAGCCCCAGGGGAACGGCTAGCAGCGGGGGAGGTCCCAAAGCCTGTGACCTCACACATACAACTCCATCCGTCCTGTCCCCGTGTTCAGATGAGAAGGGAGAGCTGTTGAACCCTGCGGGTACAGTGCGCAGTAACCCCAACACGGAGAGTGCCGCGGCCCTGGTCATCTTCCTGCCTGAGGTGGCTCCCCACCCTGTGTACTTCCCTGCTCTGGAGAAGGTTGGTGACAGCCCTGTCCTTCTAGACCAGTGGATCCAAAGCCTTCCTAACACTGCGACACTTTAATACAGTGTTGTGGTGACCCCAACCACAAAATTATTTTCATTGCTACTTTATAGCTGTAATTTTACTACTGTTATGAATCATATTGTAAATATCTGTGTTTTCTGACAGTCTTAGGTGATTCCTGTGAAAGGGTCATTTGACTCCCAAAGGGCTTGAGAACCATTGTTCTAGACCTTTCTGGGTCCAGTTCTACAGTTCTTCAAAGAGTAGACCCTGGCCACCCTGGGATTTGCCCCTTGCTAGGGTATATGTCATTATGCCAATTAAGGGGCTTCCAAGAGCCATTTTGGCCGCCACTGGGTAATGTCTTGTGTGGGAAAGCCACTCCTGGATTCAGGTGTACATAGATGTCCTGCTTTGGGGACCTTCAGGGGCTGCCCCAAATCCAGGATATTGAGAGCCAGACACTTGTTGCAGATCCTGGAGCTGGGGCGTCACGGGGAGCAGCGTGGCCGCATCACAGAGGAGGAGGTGAGCTCAGGTCCTGGAAGTGGGAGCTGGAATCGGTATTGAGCAGAAGGCCTCACCCTGTGTGCCCTTCAGCAGCTGCAGCTGCGCGAGATCCTGGAGCGGCGGGGGTCTGGGGAGCTGTACGAACACGAGAAGGACCTGGTGTGGAAAATGCGTCACGAAGTCCAGGAACACTTCCCAGAAGCACTGGCCCGCCTGCTGCTGGTCACCAAGTGGAATAAACACGAGGATGTGGCCCAGGTGAGTACAGAGGGGAGTCCGGGGAAAGAGCCAGGGGCAGACGGACAGCCGCGCCCACCGCCCACCTGACCACCAAGCTATCCCAGATGCTCTATTTGCTGTGCTCCTGGCCCGAGCTGCCTGTGCTGAGCGCCCTGGAACTGCTGGACTTTAGCTTCCCCGACTGCTACGTGGGCTCCTTCGCCATCAAGTCCCTGCGGAAGCTGACGTGAGTCCTGGCCGGGTGCTACCTCTGGGGACACAGACGCTCTTCTCTTCAGAAGGCAGCTTTGCCCCAACCGCCGGGAAATGGGTACTGGGTTGGGATGAACCTGGCCTCTGCCTCCTACTCTACCAGCTGTGACATCCCTCTCTCCACAGGGATGATGAGCTTTTCCAGTACCTTCTGCAGCTTGTGCAGGTGCTCAAATACGAGTCCTACCTGGACTGCGAGTTGACCAAATTCTTGTTGGATCGAGCCCTGGCTAACCGCAAGATCGGCCACTTCCTCTTCTGGCACCTCCGGTAGCTGAATACACCCCAGCCTGCTCCTTGGAAACCCCACGAGGACCACAGGGAAGGGAGGCCTCAGGCTCACTGGCCTCATGTTTCTAGCAAGCCCAGATGTTCTGGGTGCCCTGGGTCCCACCCCAGCTGGGGAGGGGAAGTGGGGTAAGGTACAGGGCAAGACTCAGTACTATATTTTTTTCCAGCTCTGAGATGCATGTACCGTCCGTGGCCCTGCGTTTTGGCCTCATCATGGAGGCCTACTGCAGAGGCAGCACACACCACATGAAGGTGCTGATGAAGCAGGTAAGGCTTGGGCCAGGCTCTATTTCTATGCTTTTAGAATGCTGTGTCTGTCCCTTCACACACACACACACACACACACACACACACACACACTCTCTGTCCCCTGATACATACACACACACGCACACGCACACGCGCGCACACACATGCACGCACGCACGCCACACACACACACACACACACACACACACACACACACACACAGTTAAGACTTGGGCCAGGCTCTGCTTCTACACTTTAGAATGCTCTGTCTGTGCCCTGATACATACACACACACGCACACGCACACGCGCACACACACATGCACGCACACACGCACGCACAGCCCCCCACCCATCCATCCATCCTCCCATCTGAGGCTGGCACATCCACCACTGCCTTTTTACTGTCACCACCAGGGGGAAGCACTGAGCAAGCTTAAGGCACTGAATGACTTTGTGAAGGTGAGCTCTCAGAAGACCACCAAGCCCCAAACCAAGGAGATGATGCATATGTGCATGCGCCAGGAGACCTACATGGAGGCCCTGTCCCACCTGCAGTCTCCGCTGGACCCCAGCACCCTGCTGGAGGAAGTCTGGTGAGCCCCGTGCCTGGCCCCACCAGGGCGCCTCCCACCCCTCGGGCCCGCGGAGGAGCGCCTGTCGACCCCCCTCTCTGGCCCGCAGTGTGGAGCAGTGCACCTTCATGGACTCCAAGATGAAGCCACTGTGGATCATGTACAGCAGCGAGGAGGCGGGCAGTGCTGGCAGCGTGGGCATCATCTTTAAGAATGGCGACGGTGAGCAGGCGGGCTGGGGACCTGCCGAGGCCGTGTCCATCCCGAGGGGTGCTCCTGGAGAAATGAAAGGAAAATTTACCCTGGGATCTAAAGGCCAACACACGTGGGAAATGCAGAACCTACCAGACACTTGTGGTCCCCTTCCCTCACGACAGACCTCCGCCAGGACATGCTGACTCTGCAGATGATACAGCTGATGGACGTCCTGTGGAAGCAGGAGGGCCTGGACCTGAGGTGGGGGCCTGCCCCCCCATCATATCATTACCCTGTCAGCTGGGAAAGGGAGGGGCTGCTCTCGGTACAGGGAGACAACAGAAAGCTAGGAGAGGGCAGGGAAGGCGCGCAAGCGTCCACCTTGCTCCCTCTGCACGTCTGGCCTCCTGCTGCCATCTTAGGAAGCAGCAGTCTTTTCCCAAGTCATCATCTTGGGATGCCAGTGGTGGAGACTCCCCAGTTCCCCTCCTCAGCAACCTGCGTGTGGCATCCCCTGTGGCTATTTGGAATGCGTCCCCAGGGACAGCCTTTGGTGGTGACATTTTGTCGGCTCGCCTCCCCTTCACATAGGATGACCCCCTATGGCTGCCTCCCCACTGGAGACCGCACGGGCCTCATTGAGGTGGTCCTCCACTCGGACACCATTGCCAACATCCAGCTAAACAAGAGCAACATGGCGGCCACGGCTGCTTTCAACAAGGACGCCCTGCTCAACTGGCTCAAGTCCAAGAACCCCGGGTAGGTTTCAGGCCTTCTCCTTTCTGGGGGGTGTGATGTGGGAAGGCTCGGCCTATCAGAGAGGTAAGAGAAAGGTCTGTGACGCTCTCTATTTGGCTCCGCTGTGGGGCCAGTCTGGGTCAGCAAGGCTGTGCTCATGTGCCGGTTGATGCCACTCAAAGCTTAAGGCTTCAGGAAATCCACCGTTCTGAGTGGGTTTGAGTGGCCTCACCTGATAACCTAGCATAGTCTGCATGTGTTGCTTGGGACACCTCAAACCATCTGGGACTTATGCCAAGCCTGGAGGGTCTCACGTGGATTCCATTGAAGGCCTGTGAGCCTTACCGCTCCTCCTGGCCTCTGCTTATGTAGTAGGTCAGCCATTCAGTGTTCATGAGCAGTGGGGGACAGGTTCAAGGCCAGGGACGTATCCTAGGCCTAGGCTCTGGAAGAGGGTGCACTCTGCCTTCTGTTGAATGAAGAAGTGAGCCGAAGGGCTAGACTCAAGAGCGAGAGAAGCAGCCTCCACCTCCAGAAGAAGGAGCTGCAGGATGGTGTGGCCATGACCTTTGATCTTCCCCGCTCAGGGAGGCCCTGGATCGAGCCATCGAGGAGTTCACCCTCTCCTGTGCTGGCTACTGTGTGGCCACATACGTGCTGGGCATTGGTGACCGACATAGTGACAACATCATGATCCGGGAGAGTGGGCAGGTAGGGAGGGGGGGGGGTGGTGGCTTCCCCAGGGCAGCCTAACCTCCAGTCCTGGCCTGCTGGCCCCTCAGCCCTGTATTCGGTATCCCAGACGATGCTATGAGCCCCCCCAGCCCCGCCTTT